ACACATACTCTTAAACAGTAACCTAGAGATCCATCATCTCTATAAATAATTTTAAAACAGGGCAAGAACTCCCTAAAACCCCAACTGTGTTTACGTGCATTGAACAAGTCTTGCCCCTTCTGGTCTGTCATGTCCATCAGAAATATAACAGATGAAAATGTGATCTCATCAAGTGATCTTTAACCATAAAAGAGCACTAGATGAATTGTAAGAAAACAAACAGAGACATAATCAAGCAATGAGGCCGATATGAAGAGACTCTTTGCTTTCATTTTTCGAAATCTTATTCTCTAAAGTGATGCAAAATTTCACTTTTATTGTCCATCCTGACGGCAAAGATTCAGGATATATTTACATACAGAGACAAGTGTCCCTTGTTTTTATAGTCGATCGGTTTAGTTTCTCATTGCTCTAGTGGCTGAAATTTCCTTTTACTTGTGCAATGTTTTGGTGAGGGAGGAATTTCTCTTCTAAGCTAAGAAATATGTACCTCAGAAGATTGATTTTATTAATTAGTCCCTATTTACCTATGAGGTTGATTTCTGTTCGTCCTCTTTGGTTTGTGTTATCTTCATATGGCCTCCAACCTCGTCCATTTCCATATCCACGACCTCGTCCTCGTACTTGACCACCATCTCGTCTTTGGTAATTTTGGCCATTTTCTTCTTTAGTAATCCGCATTTTTAGGACTTGTTCGACGATATCTTCTTTCTTCTTCTTCTTTTCTTCATAAGCTTGTAATGACCCAAGAAGTTGCTCTATTGACATAGCCTCTAAATCTTTTGTTTCTTCAATGACGGTGACAATATGCTCAAATTTTGGATCCAACGATCTAAGAACTTTCTCCATGATTCTCACGTCATCTATCTTCTCTCCGTTTCTTTTAAGGTTATTAGTAACCGTCAACACTCTGGAGAAGTAATCGGAGACGAGTTCACCTTCCTTCATTTGCAATGCTTCAAATTCTCCTCTTAGAGTTTGAAGACGTACCTTCTTGACTTGATCGGCACCTTTGTAAGAGGTTCGAAGCTTCTCCCATGCTTCTTTGGCCGACGTAGCTTCAACGACCTTCTCGAACGTATCTTCATCTAATCCTTGATAGATTAGACAGAGAGCTTTCTTGTCTCTCTTTCTTGAGTCTCTCAAACTATCCTTTTGAGTTTGAGAAAGACTACCTTCATTCTCCGGTTCAATGAAACCTTTCTCGACTATCTCCCACACGTCATGTGCTCCTAGGATAGCCTTCATTCGTAGACTCCAATTATCGTAGTTGCTCTTTGTGAGCATTGGAACTTGGAAGGGAACATTGTTACTCGCCATCTTTAGGATCTTCAAGCTCTGATACCACTTTGTTAGAGTAAAATTCTTTTAGAGGTAATGGAGAAAGTGTTTAAGTGTTTGAGAGAGATTTTTAGGAAATAGAACTTTTATTACTTTGATTTTAACTTGAAGACAACTTCATAACCTTACAACAAAATGAGAGAGGGAGAAGGTATTTATAGCCTCCAAACTACAAAATGTCTAAAATATTTTAATCATAAATCTAGAGAGTCTTAACATAATATCTAGATTACAATATTCTAATTATCTAGATTATTCTATAAGAATATCTAGATTTTTATGTTTAAGGAGGTGGAAGATGATTCTAGAAAATTTCTAGAACATTTTAAGGAGGTGGTAATTATGATATTTCTAGAGAAAACTCTAGAACTTGGATTTGGCCCATCAAATGATTATCGGGTAATTGACCCGATAATTAAACTTGATTCAAAATCAAGTTTAACTTTCAACAATCTCTTCTCCATTGCTTGTTTTCTTCGGAGACACCTTTCACTGATGTCTTCTTGAATAAGCATATCTCTTGCGGTATGACAAGGTTGCATGACATGCCAACTCTACCCGTGCAAGATGGAGGTCATGAAGCTGAAGCTGGATCAGATGGAGTTTTGTCACTCACTGTATTTGTTAGCTAGAAAGCCGGACATGAAAGTTCTTTATGCTGAAGGTGGGCAAGACTTTGTCGATCTGCTTTTCATTTTCCTGGCTATCCCTTTGGAGTCTGTATGGGAAATAACCGGAGGCAATGTCGAGCTAGGATGCATTGGCAACTTTTGGAGAAACATGAAGAGCTTGAGCTCTAGCGGAGGCACAAATAGTATGCTTCCTCAGCATTATGGTTTCCACAAATCGCTAATTGGTGTCGGTTACGAAAGGAATAAGTTGGACGTGGACGTAGATGATGTTGAGGTACATGCAATCAACGTACGCGTGCATGTTTGTATCTTTCCTGATATATTTTGTTCTGAACAGATTAATTTTAATGAATCTGACACTAATGCAGGCTATCAGTCTGTTGAGTGCAATGAATACAAAATCTGACTTGGTTGCTGAACACACGTTACCGGTCAGTAGTGGGTTTGTGAAGAGAGGGTCAACATTCATGATCTCAGATGATCTTATTGTAACAGCTTCAAACTTGTCTTCGACCCTTGGCTTACTAAAGAAGTTGGACACAGACTTGGATGATATCGAGGAACAAGTTATTAGTATCACTGGAGCAGAGGTTTGTTTTTTTTCTTCTCTTTTCTTATTTTCTTCTGAATGTTCACCAAAAACAAAGATTTTTCACAATTCTCTCCTGTTTTCAGTTAATTCTTTGAGTCTTATTGTAATGCAGGCTATCAATTTATTGAAAGCTTCATTGGTGACATCCACCCCCTTGACCACTGCTCTCGGGAGCTTACTTCTAAAGAAGCCTAAAGTGGAGAGCCTTTAAGACATCAAGGACTTTGTTGGGCAGTTTGATCTTGCAGACATGCTTTAGTTTCTTGTAACCGTTGGTTCAGTTTCGGATTCTTTTCTCTCTATAGTTTCTCAGACGAATTTAAGGCATTTTTTATGCTACCTAAGTATTTTCTGGTTTTCAGTTTCCATATGCATTCATTTAATAACAGTTCTAGAATCACATTGAAATTATCGGGTTTTTTTTTTTTTCTCCTTCTGGGAAATATATATTAGAATGATAGAGAACCAATTACATCACAATCTTGAAAACATCAAGATGGTTTGTTTTCAGCTTAACCGAGATAAGCTTGCTTTTTCGGGTTTTTCCCTAGAGGGCTTAAAATTAACGATTTTTGGATACACCTATACAGATTTATGTGAATATACTAATCCTAAAGATGAACAGTTTCACAAAGTTTCTTCAGAATCCATTAGAAAACTTAATAACTGGCAGTGTGTATGTAGAATATAGCATACACAATTGATATGAGGGAACAAGGCAAAGACAATTGAAACATAATTTGCTCGTCTTTTTTTCTGTTTTTTTTGGGAATAAGTAAGAGGTTATGGGCCTAGGGACCAAAGTATGGTCCCCTCCCAAGCCTCAAAAAGAAGATAAAGCAAGCGGAGGAAACGAGAGTTGTTGATATGACCGGAGTTTCACCTGTCTGTCTTGATGTCTTATATACGCAGATCTTCCTGCACTACATTAGTGTTCTGAGTTACTGTTGTGCTGGCTGCTTCTGTATGAGTAATTTTTTCTCCTCTCTCAAACTTCTCAACTAACGAGCGTGTCCTGCCTGAGACAACTTCTACTGCAAACATATCAATTTATAAGGAAACTGTAGCCAGCCAACTTGAATGTTAAGAAGAAAAAACAAGGACAGGGAGAGTTTTGGATTCCTAACCTCAATTTTATACCGGTCAATTACTAATTGATCATTGTCTCAAAACCAAGTACGTGAACAACCACAACAGACTACAGAATTTGAAACAAGTTCTAAACAGTAGCTAAAGATTTAAATTGTAGCAATCTACACGCTACTGTTAAGACTTTTCTGCCGTTTTATTTATTCTTCTCTAAGATTTGGTAACTAGATATAGTCTAGTAGCTCTTCCAAATAGATGTCTTTTTGTTTGTGCACAAAAAAAAAAAAAAAAAAAAAAAAAAAAAAAAAAAGATGTCTTTTTGTTTTTGCGTCCAATTATATAAATAGGCAATATTTGGCCTTAATTTCCTTTTTGTTTTATTTTTAAAAGAAATTTCCTTTTCTTTCAGTAATAACCTTTCATTATAAATATTTAAGAATCGCAGTCATATAATCTCTTCTTAAGAATCGCAGTTGTCATTCGTCGAAGAGCAAAACCCTAAAGTTCTCTTTCTTTCTTCTTCTTCTTCCTCTTCTTCTTCTTCTTTTAAAAACTTGAGTTTCTTCTCAAGCAAGTTATGTCGATTGAAGCCGTCATGATCTCGTTCTCGTATCTCTTCGGATTTTTCTCCGACCAAGTTTTAGTCGATTATTAGAGAGGGCAAGGAGATGTTAGTTTAAAGGTGAATCTGGGATTATAAGTTAGGGATTTAGGGTTACGGTGATGAAGTTGTGGCCGAAATATGAGAGAACACGACGGAAATTGACAACGATCGAGATGGAGGAAAATACTTCGTCGGAGATTATTTGTGATGATGTCACACCACACAACGGCTATTTTGGATGATGTCATACAAGGGCTATTTTAGAATTTGGTTGAGTATGGAGAACAAATGACTACGGTGAAGATTTCGTGAGATGACTGAGAGAAAACGCCTTGGAGAGGTATCAGATAAGAAAAAGAGTCTCGCGTTACATCAATTCCAGTACGATTTCAGGTCAATTTCCTTTCCCTTTTAAAATCAAAATTAAGTTTTAAAATTTTTACTTTTTTAATGGCTTTTTTTTACGAGTTTTGTTTTTGTTTTAGACTAGATTTACAAAACGATATGAAAAACTAACCGGACTTTGGATCCCGTCATTTGACATAGTCATTTGATCGTTAGCGATTTTACAAGTTCAATTTGTTTTCTAATCGTTACGTAAATCTAGCATTTTTGTTTTTTTTTTTGTTTTAGTCTAGATTTACATAATGATATGAAAAATTAACCGGACTTTGGATCCCGTCATTTGCCCTACTCATTTGATCGTTAGCGATTTCACAAGTTCAATTTGTTTTCTAATCGTTATGTAAATTTAGCAATTTTGTTTTTTGTTTTTTTTTTTTTGTTTTTTTTTTGTTTTAGTCTAGATTTACATAATGATATGAAAAACTAACCGGACTTTGGATCCCGTCATTTGACCTAGTCATTTGATCGTTAGCGATTTCACAAGTTCAATTTGTTTTCTAATCGTTATGTAAATTTAGCATTTTTGTTTTTTGTTTTTGTTTTTTTTTTTTTTTTTTTTGTTTAGTCTAGATTTACAAAACGATATGAAAAACTAATCGGACTTTGGATCCCGTCATATGACCTAGTCATTTGATCGTTAGCGATTTCACAAGTTCAATTTGTTTTCTAATCGTTATGTAAATTAGCATTTTGGTTTTTTTTTTT